GCGGGAGCGCGGCTGCCGGTGGCTGAGGCAAGTGAGTACTCCTCGGGGGCGCCGGAGGACGCGCTCCTCCGGGGCTGGGGCCGTAACGGTGTCACTTGGGGAAGGAGCGAAGCACCGCAGGGGAGCGGCCTGTTTCCCCTTTATTTTTATTATCGGGGAAAAAATCTACAGTCCGCTCCTATAGAGTCGGCACAATTGTTGGCACGTTGTTCTTTAACACATTCGAGTCTAGTTATACTTCTAGAAAGCATTTCTGTATTTTTAACTTCCAGAAGCGTTCCCTAAGCTCTCCCCCACACACACACACCAGCTTGGGAAGCTGTGGAAAACGGACCACAGCTTTTTTTAACGGTCCATCTGCAGTTTGCGATAATACCATGTTGGAGCCCGCAGAAACTTGGGGGATTAACAGTAGTGTCTTGCTTTAAAGTGTGGAGGGCTTGCCGACGTGATACAGCGTTAGGGATGTCCTGATGGCCTGGGGTGGCTGTAGCACTCCTTGTCTCCTGGGACAGCACTTTTTCCTTAATATTTGTAACGTTTTTTGAGGAAACTTTATTTAACAAAGTGTGTATCTTTTAAAAATTTAATTAAAGTCATTCTTCTCACTTATTTTCTCCCAATTACTAATATTCTTTGTTTGCAAGAAGATATGAGGTGTGCGCAATGAGGAAATAAATGCTGGCTGGAAATGAAGTTAAGTTTATATGTTCAAAAATAATAATTCATTATGATAGAGTTTTATGAAACGTTTAAGTGCAGTAGGACTCTGCTTTTTGACCTTGTAATAAATTTCCAAGACCAAACTGAGAGTGGATTTTCATGATTCAAGGTTTGAACAGAGTGTGCTAGCAGACTGATATCGCTAATATCATACCTACAGGTAACTATGGGAGTTATGCTTCTGCTCGTGAGACCTTCCGTCTTGGCTTAGAAATACATCTACAGCAGGGATTCCCACGCTGGGTTAGCTGACGCATCGGCCGATCAGATGAAGTGCAGGAGCTCTGAGTACCAGCAGAAACACCTGTGAGTACTGATTGATCGCAGCGGTGGCAGCTGTGCCAGTGCGCAGAAGGCGGGCCTGCAGCTCCCCGCCTGCCACGGCTGGGGACCCAGCCTTCCCTCCTCATCCCACCTTCACTCTTCATCACGCGGGCAGTGGTACCCACTGTGGTCAGGAGTAACGCCACAGGCCACGTACCAGCGATGGGTATTCTGTTGGCGGGAAACGCGTGTCCTATGGGATTCGTAATCAGCAGGTGGTGCGTGTCTCCCTGTAGCTGCAGTTAACTGGCATGTATGGCTTTCCTCTGCCTAGATGTTAACTTAGGCATTGTCCTTCATAGATGCTTTTAATGCTGTTGAGCAGTTGGTGATGGCTCCCACACCGAATCAGACTGTAATATTATTTGAGCTGTATTTTCTCTATTTCTAAATATTTCTGTGGCTGTCTTAAAATGGAAAATAAAACCCCAAAAACCAAATTTAAATTTGTTTAAAAATAATAAGGAACTTACTTTTTAAATGAAGTAATTTTATCTGTGGAAATTGAGCTCATCAGAGATATTTTAGTGGATTGTTATTTCAAGATTTAAGCGCCTAAAGATGCATGCATATATTTCACTGGACTTGTAAAATTGCCTGGCTTTCACGGATTCATTTCTTTTTTATGAGTATCTGTTACATGAACCACATGGATACCTCTTCCTTCTAACGTCTCTGTTCTTTATGCCCTGCATCTCTGGTTTATATTAACCTGTTCTGAAATGGCTTCAGCAGTTTCTGGTTTCCACTGGTGGGAAATGCTGTTTGCCCACTAGATGGCATTCCGAAATCTGTACTGAGGATGGTACTCCAGCAGGAGTGGAGATCAGTCTTGATTTCTTTATATAACACGTTAAAACTAAACGCATAGTAGGTAACATCACTATTTGATTAATGTTACCAGTCATAAGAATTTTCTTATTAAAGAACACTGTTAGAGTTGTATAAAGTAGTTGGAAACTGTGGGAATGATTAAGTTTAAGATTGTTTCAAGATTCAGATGTAATCATTGACTCTGTTCTTGCACAGATTTCTTCTTTCCGCTCATCTGGGTAAATTTGTTTTGCGTTGTGGCGGAATGTAATTAAGTCTAACTTTTTGTTCTTGGTTTGGGTTTACATGGAAAGGATGCCGTCATTTTGGAACAAAATCTGCCTGGTGACCATCTGTCTCTCCATTAAGATGAAATATGACATTGTTTTAGGCAGTGAAATGATGAAAGATTTTCTTGAAAAAACAAATGAGCGCTTTGCTTTTTTAAACATCCTGGCACTGGCAAACTGTAGCTTTAGGCAGAACCCTGCATACAACAAAACTGTCACTGAAGCTTCGTATTCACTTTAAGTATGTCATAGTTGCTTCCCCAAAAGTAAATTGGGCTGCCGATTTCTGTCAAAACAATTCAAGTTGTTGTTTAAATGCCTAAATCTGCATTGTGCTGACTGTGATGTGTCTGAATCCTTATTCAGAAGCCATTGGGAACATAAGGCATCAAAATCAGAGGAACAGTGGCTCCACGACCCAAAAGCAAAAGTTCTCCTGATAATAGAAATATTAATGCTGTTATCTTTGTAACTTACGAAGTATGTTTTTTACCAAATTTCTTTCTAAAACACAGAAGCAGTGATTAATATTCTGGAAATAACACAGATTATCTTTACTGCTCTCACTTTTTCCCTAAATCTTTAAGCTGGACCGAGCTGAAAATTTTAAATGAGGGCAGCGGTATTTCCCAGCAGGATTTATTTTGTCTATTCTATTTTTGTCACTTATTTGTGTGAAGTATAGACTCCAAAACACACTTGTGTTGGATTGGAAGGTAGAATCTCCAAGGCAGGTGATTAACAGTAAATAAGTCTGCTTTTTAGCAAAGTTTTATTTGTCATCTTCCGTGCTGATATGAATCTTAATGCCCCAAGGTCTAAGAATGGTTTTCAGTAATAGGACTATCTTACAAAAAAAATAATCAAAAAACCCTAATGAGTCCATAACTTATTACTAGGTTTTTTTCAGTTGGTTAATTTGTGCCATCTCTTCCTTTAGGTTTTGAAATCGTAAAAGGATCCCTAATGTGCAGAAGAGGAAATTCCTGTAGGATAGCACAGACAGGGGGCAACCTCAGGTGGGTCAAGAACAAAACCAGAAAGCTGTTGTGGTGGCTCTTTCCATCACCGTAACAGTGCCAGGAATTGGTGCCCTAGGACTGAAGAGCTATGAGTCCTTGTAGCTCCAGTAGCAAACAGCAGTACAGTGATAGAGTTGTTCTGGCCCGACAACGGTTCCTTTTCTCCCGTGTGTCTCCAATAGGTCAGTGCAGGAATACCTAGGATGTAACTGATGTCTGGACTGGGTGTGGGGTGGGAGGAGTTGGGCAGTCCTAAGGTGGATGCCAGAGATTATGTAGCTGTACTTATGTAGCCAGGTCTTGAATATCTTGATTATTATTGGTCATTGGTTAGTAACTTTGTGAACATTTGTTTATTTCTCTCTCCCCCCTCTTTTTATTTATGCATTTCATTGAAATAATACATTACAGAATCTTGTGTAGCAGTTTTTTCAAACTACATTTGCTATGTTTCTTCATGTTGCGTACAGTGACCTTTCTGTCAGATTCTGATTACGCTTGCCCAGCTATGCCTATCTATACCCTTGGGAACACACAAAGATTGTTTCTGTGAGTAAGACTTCTCAACAGTATTGAAAATTCTGTATTGCTTTGAGCTATGGTTCTTTCTTGGCATAGCTCTGCTGAAAAGATTACAAGCTCTTAGAGCTTGATGGTTTGTACAGTCCTCCTAATCTAGTTCAAAGGCTCTTGATAACTGGTTTTTAGCTTGCAAAACCTGTAGAAAAAACTCCTTTGAGATTAATACATTGTGTGTGAACAGACCAAACAGGACCATTTTTACTGTCATCTAGTGTTAATATTAGGACATTCCAGTATTTCTTATGGCTAAGTGAATTGCTCTGTCTTTAGTTACCGTGGTAGCTGACATCTTGTTTAACAGAAGAATTCTTAAAAACCTTCAGACAGAAATGTGTCTTTTTTCAGGACAGTGATCACTATCACATTGCAACAGTAACAGTTGTATCAAAAAGAAATACTGACTGGCGAGAATCCTCTCTGAGTCCCACAGAAAATAATATTTGTGATTAAAATACATGTCACCCCAGTGGTGATTATAGCTGATCTCTGTGGTGGTGTACAACTCTCGTTCATAAAAGTAACATAGAACATTGTGTGCTGTGTGGAATTACAGTGCACACCCTTAATATCTCTATAACAAAACAAATGTTCTCAACATGGACTTTGATACACCCTCTCTGTTCTTTGCTTTTATAACATTAGTTTGTCAGAGTAAATCTTCAGAGATAGGTTTAAGAGATACCTGATATTTTAAAATTGTTTATTTCAGTCCGTTATAGAATGTGAGATAGCAATGAGTCCAGCTGCTTTCAGAAAAGGAGAGTCTCATTTCTTTGATGTTGTCTCCAGATGCTTGCACATGTTTTTTCCAATAGTACCAGTGGTGTATATTCTGTTATACTTGGGGGGGGGCGGGGAGGGGGGGAGGTGTTTTCCTCTTTTTAAGTTAGTCTAAAAAGGATATTGTGCCTTTGGCCTTGTGTCAGTGTTTACCCTGGATTTGATGTTTCACTGTGGAGTTGAAGCATCTGTGCAGTCTCTTGCATCTTTTTCAGTTCGTTATCTATGTGCTACTACTATATGGGTTTTAGCTTAAATCATACCACAGCCAGAGGAATGACCCCACTCGTATGAAAATACCTTTTTATTTTCCATATGCAACTACATTGTGAACCTACATCGAAAGCTAAAGCATAAACTTGGCTGATGTTGCAGCCATTGGTTTTGCTGCCTACTTACCAACCATTCTGGTTTTGTTTGCTTCTTTAAAAGGGTTTTTGTTAAGCACAGAAACAATATCTATTATTTGCTTTCGGTAACTGCTTCACTGCCAAGTCCTCTGGGGATGATCACTTCCTTTTGCCCTTACTTAATTGGTCTAGCTGAACCATTTCACTTCACCTATGTGGAGACCTCTGTCTGCTCTGTTGTTTTGACTTAAGTAATTCACTGAAATTGAGAACGTTTCCTAGTAGTGTAGGTACAGCCTAAAAAGTTTGTGACTGAGACTTAATCTTGCAGCTGTCTATTGCAATTCTCGGGGGAAATTGTGTATTCTTATTCTGGCTAGAAGAAATCTGGATAGATTTCTTTCCATGTTTCCTCTTACATCCTCCTCCCCAACACTTGTTAGTTGGGAAATAAATTCCATACTTTTGAAAACTGCTAGGTTTTCACATTCACATCTAAATTCCAACTAAATTTCTCAATGGCATTTGTTCCAGAGTCAGTGGGCTCAACTATGTCTAAGAATTAAATTAGAGCAGAGCAAAAGCTTCGCTATAGTTAAGATTGAAAACCCCCTCTTTGTTCAAAATTGAACTCTTCTAATATTCTAAAATCCCCGTGTTTACTTGGATGTATTGAAATTTATCATGCAGTAAGGGATTAGTGTTGTGAGTTTTGGATCAGCTGCTAGGGCATTGTTGAAATACAAAAGAAAAGCCTTTGAATAAACATGCATGACGCTCATAACCTGAGTGGCTTCTGCTATCTCTGTGTCAACTAGGTGGATGAGAAGCTTTCCAGTTCTTCTGTGTGCTGTGCTTTTTTTGAAGCACTCTGTGGTGTCTGAGCTTTAAAATTGGAGACATAATCTGGCTGTGTAATTTTTCAGCCAAATCAGTTCCTCGATGTGGTAGAGCCCAAAAGAGCACAGCTGGAGGGGCAGTCTGGGGGTTGGTGCAGAATGGCACTATCTTGAACTAGTGGTGTTTCCGGGCACAGTTTTGAGAGGATAGCTTTCTTATCTGGGTATGAATTTGGGAAGAATCTGTGACTCTGTAAGGGGAGGAGAATGTCTGAGTTACCCTCCTCTGTGTTAGGAAAAGGGAAGATAGTTGCAATAATCATTGAGGTGAACAAACTACAGTACATTACCCAGTGCTGTTGCTTCATGAGCTGTTCTCTTTTATCTTCTGAGGACATTGCATTGAAATAATAGATTGCTATGCTCACCTTTAATTTCTAAAAGCTGGAACTTGCTGGATTTCTGTGACACTTGCTGTATCTGAAGGGAGTTCGGTGTAGCATATGTGACCCATTTTTGGTGTCTTGAAATGGTCTCATCTGCTCCAGTTTCCTCCTTTAGCATTCTTAAAGTTTTGGTTGATAGGTTTTTTCTGCATGGAGACCAAATGAATGCAATAATGTCTGTAAATAGATTCTCAGGGAGCTGGTTTGCTCAGCATTTATCCCAGATAGAGTATGGAACTGACTGCACTTTTTAAAAGGAGTATCATATGCAATATTTGGAAAATAACTAAACTCTCCAGGTAAGAACGAACCTAATTCAATATTTGGGGCAGCTGTTTCTCAAACATCAAGATCTGTTTCCCATGTTGCTTTGAGATCTGCAGGCGTATCCCACAGATAATCCAAATAAAAACTTCTGAAAGCAGGAAATGCAAAATTATGGTGTTTTGTTTAATCCTTTTTCGTATCTTTCACTTTTTATTCTGGTCAAGCACAAAATCCCCTGTTTTGGGTCTTATGGAGGTTTGTGCAGGCCGACACTGCACATGTATGCTTTCCAGCCAGATGTGATCCAAGGATGGCAGTCAAGCCATTTGTTGTGGGGAGGCCACTGAGGAACTGCAACTTTCACCTGCTGCGGACTCTTGATGTGTGTGCCACCTATCATGGAGGTACTGTAAGCTTTCATACAGGTCACACTGGCCTTTTATGATGTGGTAGAGAAATAGAGGGTGAAAGTAAGCCTGGAAGCTGTGTCATTAATGCCTCAGCACAAGGAGTGCAGTAGGAGAGACTGAGGAAATTGAATGAATGAGCCTTTAATGTAAGCAGACCTACCCAATTGTGTTTTGTGTGAGTGGAAGACAACTGGTAGGCAGCAGGACAGCAAAATGAGCTAAGGGTGTGACTTGAGGTGGTGGAGCACTGGTGTAGGGCCCAGGTTTGTTGCTGCCTGCTGGGCCCATCCATTTAGTTGCTGCCTGTGATTATATGTTTAGGCAGAAAGGATGCCAGGCAATCAGAAACAATCATTTTAAGGTGGGGTAGTCAGTTTGTGTGTCTTTAACAGCAAGCAAATTATAAGCAGTTCACATGTAGTCCCCATACTAGGGATATATCAGGTGATCTGCAGTGGGATTATGGTGGTCCAGTTCAGCAGTCTGAATCCCTGTTAGTGGGAGGAAGTCAGCCAGATGGGATTTCTGAGTCTGAAATGTGTCATCCTGGCACCCACCCACCCACTATTGCTCCGTCCTGTAGCAGTGTAGGAGGATCTCATGGTGGTTGGTGTCACTTTCCACCTGTGAGTTCTCTCTGGGGTTTCCCATTCCTGCAGCCTTGAGTTCAGTAAATGTCTTCTGGATCTTAGCCATAGGGAAATTTTAGCCTATAATGTGTAGTCAGAAGAGTTGGCCATCCATGTACTGATGGCTCTTAAAATGCTGATATCTAAAGTAAGAAGGATGAACTAGAAACGGAAGTATCATGTGATGAATGTTTGGATGAGTGAATAAAAGGGGGTGTTTCTGACTACATCTTTTGAATGGTTATTTGTAATCATAGGTAACACAGGCTAGCCTTGGACATCGCAAACATATGAACACATCATGGTAATACCCTTTTTACTATAATGGTCTGCACAGATTGAAGTACATAGGAATCATATCCAGCTAGCTTTAGAACTTCAGGTAATGGTTGAGCTCAGGTACACTTAATAAAAAGTCTGGAGATCAGAAGAAATCCGATTAATACTGAGGATTCTGTAAGAGTCAGGCTGGGTGTAGCAGTGTGTTGTGGTTGGCAACTAAGCACCACACAGCCGCTCGCTCACCCTCTCCCCCAGTGGGATGGGAGAGAGAATTGGGGGGAAAAAAAAAGTAAAACCCACCAGTTGAGGTAAAGACAGTTTAATAGGACAGCAGAGGAAGAGAAAATAATAATGATAAAAGAATATACAAAACAAGTGATGCACAATGCAATTGCTCATCACCTGCTGACCAATGCCCAGCCTGTCCCTGAGCAGCGATCGCTGCGCCCCAGCCAGCTTCCCCCAGTTTATAGACTGGGCATGACGCCATACGGTGTGGAATAGCCCTTTGGCCAGCCTGGGTCAGCTGTCCTGGCTGTGCCCCCTCCCAGCTGCTTGTGCACCGGCAGAGCACGGGAAGCTGAAAAGTCCTTGATTTAGTGTAAGCACTACTTAGCAACAACTAAAACATCAGTGCGTTATCAACATTATTCTCATCCTAAATCCAAAACACAGCACTGTGCCAGCTACTGGGAAGAAAATTAACTCTGTCCCAGCCGAAACCAGGACACAGTGCTAGCACTGAGAAGGGTGTCACTTCCTAGCTGGGACAGAAAGCTCTCACAGGATATCTGTCACAAGGAAGCAAGGCCCAGGTCTGTGCAGGTGTGTTCTGCAGCAGCAGCATTGGATTTAGGGAGTCTGGTGTGGAGCTAGGCCTAATGAGTAGGACAGCAGCCAGGTTAACTACAGCCAGCCACTCGGGTGTCTGCAGTGGTCTAGATCTTCTCCAGGTTGGATCTACTGAGCTTAATGTAAAGCCCATGTTACGGGAAAGCAGTTCAAAACCTCTGTGGCACAGCTGTACGAACTGCTCTTAGCAGCAGTATAGCTACGTGCCTGTGGCGATCTTGAGCATGGTGCAGATTTGAGCTAGCTCTGGATAGAAGTGATCCAGGTTCATTTATTTCATGCCGATTGGTATAGACTGGAGATTAATCCATCCACAGAAAACAGAATTAGCTTTGTGTTTTCTAGCTTGCCAGTCGTGGCTAGACTCAACCTGGACCTATACGTTAGAGGAAATTCTTCCAAGTTATGTTTTTTTCCTAATTTAAAAAACCTTAGGAAATGTAAAAGAAAAAAATCTTCATGAACAGAATTAATATAGTAAGGCAGTATCCTGTACTCTTCTAGAATGCTGAATTCAGCAACACACAGATTGCTGAATTCTAGAAATAAAGCATTTATAGCATACTCCCACACAATAATTCTTCTGTAAAGAAATAATCTTTCAAATGCATATTCTCATTCTAAAACGTAGAGCAGAGCATCTCTCCTACTCATAGTCACTTAAGGCTATTTCAGACAAAGAACATCTGCTGAATATAGCAATCAATTTGCTGTTTTCTGCATGATACTATCTAATGCTGTGGTTTTATTTATGTGTTCTGCAGCCTGCAGTTTGTATCCATCCAGCTGCTCACAATATCCACAGCAGGGAGGCTTTGGGAGTCAACACAGACAAATTGTGGGCCATGCAGTACTGAAGGAAGACATGCAGGATTTCTGAAGCAATGTGTGTGTCTCTTCTAGTTGTTTGCTTACGTATGTATTGGGCAAAATGAAGGACTCATCCCATTTTCTTCCAGATGGTTCGGTATCACTAATCAGGGTTAGAACTTTACTGTGTTGCTACCGCTGATCTGGAACTATGCCTAGCCCATTGGATGCATGTGATATGTTTGCGAATAATTTCCATTATTATTGCCATTTTCCAGAGGCATAATTAAGTTTGAGAATTTGAACATTAACAATATTTCCTGAGCTTCAGATGTTTGTTCTTCATCTCCTGCATCTTAGAAGAAAAATGTTTTGTTGAATTTAGTGTTAATTTCTTCCATTCATTTATTTTATTTTTAGTTTAAGATGTGAATGCTGCTATTTTCCTCTTTGCTGTTTGAATCATGCAGAGCTTGGGAGAAAGGGCAGTCAAATTTATAATACCTTTCCCTTTTATATTGTAAAGTTTGACCTTTTCAAGGGATGTCTACAGAGATCTTCATTCACACCTTCAACTTTTCAAGGGTGTTGCAGGTTTTTGTAGAATCAGTGTTTTACTGGGTAACTAAAGCTCTCATGAAGTTTTGCTATAGTGAGCAGTTCTTAGCTGTTTTTTCAGATGTAAATTAGTACAGTATGGTTACCTTCCAGGTGTCCCTTTATAATTTGTATAATTTGCTACGATTTTTGGTTGAAGAATGGACATTATTTGCATGTGGATAGTAAACTGCCTGTCTGTTAGATAGAACTAGCTGTTAATTTTAGAACTGTTTAAATTTTAGTTGGCCACCACTGCATTATAAAGGAACATTCTCATTCTGTTTAGTTTAAATAGGAGTCAGCCTAAAGGAGTTAAAAAAAAAAAAAAGCACTGCCATCCACACATTATGACTTACCTTGTGCCAGGATCCACATGCTCCAGAATCATCAGCGTTTTAGAATTAACCTTCAAAAAATCTCAAAAGTTACATGGTATTATATGAATCAGTTTGTATTGCTCGTATTAGTTGATGATGCACGGTAAGTGTTGCCTTGGCCTAACTAAATCTACATGGCTTATACTGATTTAAGAGACTTCCACAAGAGGGTGCACCAGTACAGTAAAATCCCATATAAACCAAATGAGCGTGTCCCCATCGTGGGTGTATTTTCTATCATTTTATGTATTAACTCATGTATCTAAATCAACTTCAAAATTGGATGGATGCTTTAATCAGTGTAATGTCCCAGAGCGTCTCTCCGGTCTGTAACAGATACATGAATGGATATATGATACTTTGCAGGTGAGCAAGTCAGGAAGTTTAATTTTGAACAAGAGGCACTGTTTCCAGAAGTCCTGTTCACACCAATGAAAGGCTGTCTTCAGACTCCAGTCACAAAATGCTATTTAGACTTTTGTTTTGGTTTTTTTAGTGTATGGAAATATGTTACCTGTTCCTAATTTATGTCTGATGCCCTGCAAATGCTCACTACATGCATTTTAAGAATAAGGTTTGGGGATTTTTTTTTTTTTTTTTTTAGTTTTGAAGCATCATTAATTTTCCTCTCAAACTGGTATAACACTGGGTAGTACAGCTACAGAAGAAAACATCTAGAAAGATGACTTCCTGAGAGACTGCTGACTTGAGTATGACTGATACGATTTTTTTCTGTTTCTATTTTGTGATAAAATTATTTCTTGTCTCATAAGATAGATGGGAACTCTTAGTAACGCTTCAGCTTAAGTTGTATAACGTCGCTGTCCTGATATGCTAAAAGCATTAAAGTGTTCCGCTGTATGCGTAGGCCAAAGTTCTACGTCCATTCCTCTAAGACTGCAGTCCTAGAATAATAAGATACCTCTGCAGAAATGATTAACGCTAACAAATTTTCCAGGAAAAGGGCCCGCTTTTGAATCATGCATTCCCTGTTCCAATACATGAATCATAAATCACTTACAGAGATAAGATTATCTGATAGTCAGCAAAATAACTAGAAGTGTGGTGATATTCATATGTGTAATATATGATTTTTTTTTTCCTGAGAAATGCTGTTTTTGCCAAACTTTCAGGTTTTATTGAGTAAGAGAAACAGAATGGTGTGCTTTTGAAACCTTTAATTATTAGTACAAGATATTAAAAGAAGGTGAATTTGAGACAAAGGAAATTACTATTTTTTGTTACTGCTAGCCACAAATATAAAAGTTGGGTCTGGATTCAAAAGGTTTAATTTACTAATAGTGATGAATTGGAACTACTCTAGGTTTGATACTTTTCTTTTGAGCAGTGTAAAAGAAAAGAATATGAGGTTTTACTAAAAAATCACCACCACACAGTGAATATGTCATTTAACTAGCAGTAAGATTTTTATTTTCAAGACTATAAACTAGCCACCTTCTTCCATTTACACCAGTTCTAGATTATCATGTGTAAGCAGATGAGGATGTTTTTCTTTTTTTTTTTACTTGCTTGTGGATAGTACCAGAAGAATAATCTGTGTTTATATTTTTCTTAAAAACACTGTGGTTTTAGGTCATTGTTGTCCTCCAAAGAGCCAAATGCATCTACGAGTCAGACATGCAATACTGCTTGGTTATCTAAGATTCCTGGCTATATCTGATAGCAATAGGGCACAAGGAGGAATAGTAATTACTATAGTTATTTACTTACTGATCATCTTGCTCTGAATATAATGGCATTTTCAGAAGCAGTTCTTCATTCTGACAGTGTGTGGAAGTCAGCTATTTTTAAAAACATAATACACAACACAGATGCCCCCCTCTGTGCCCCCCAGCAAAGTAGGGTCCTAGCTTCTTTTCTAGGCTATGGCATGAAGCATGTGCCACTCCCAGGAGGTCCTCCTTCTGACCTGAAGTTATATGTACCAGCCTGGCCAAAGTTTGGTTAATGTTGAGCGTTTCCAGTGGAGGGAGACTTTAATTAATAGAAAATTTCATCTCAGTGTGGACCTTGAAATTTCTGCCCTCCTAATCTTCAGGAGAGACCAAAGCGAGATGTAGCCCAGGAGGTGTCACTCCAGCAAAGACTAGCTGAATACAGGTGTTGAGTAAACCCTTGTTGCCCTCCTCTCTCTTACTTTTCATTAGTGAAAACTGGCTTGCGTTATTTCACCTTCATATAAACACAGCAAGCACTTTTTTCACTTCTAAAAAAACCCAATTAAAATTACTAGTCTTAGTATTAAGAGGGAGGATAGAAATATGCACGGAAAATAAAAATTATAAATATTTAATTATGCAACTTGTAAGGGAGAAAAAAAAATCTATATATAATAGGTTGACATATTATGAAAAATGGACTATTGCAAAAGTCTAATAGGTATGGAAGAGTTAGCACATCTTGATAACAGGGTGAACTGATCAGAGGTTCTCTTTTCCCGTCTGTTAACTTTTAAAAAATGTCTGCATCATTTCTTTTCCCTTGGTACTTACCTAACCTGCCTTGGTGGCACATGTCCGTGTCAGAACAAGGGTAGGGCTTGAAACGTTATTTGAAAGTGATTAGCATTTGTCATCAAGCATTGGTATGGAAAAGAACCATCTCTCCAGTTAATTTTAAAGCATTACAGTAAAAGTTAGCTACATAGATGAAATCCTGAGTTTCATATTGATTTCTGTAATAAATGTACATCTTTTGTTCAGTACTGTAAAGCATTAATTGTTTTTCCACTGCTAAATCAAAGTCAGAAGTTTAGTGTTTTTACTAAAATAAAGGTGGTATAACTTTGCAGTCTGTTTCCTACTGCAAATAACAATAATGATTCAGTAGCTTACGAATAACAACTTTCATTCCTTTTTCTTATTTTCAGCATTCATGTCTGAATTCATAGCAAAGAAAAAGGCATTTCTGTGGTCTCTTTGACTTTGAAGTGCTAAATGGTGGATTCAATGTGTCAAGTGCTGTTGTGTGAGTCAAGGCACCTGTGTCCTCTTCCAGGTGCCACTGACTGGTTGCTTAACCTTGGATATGTCTCATTTTGTATTTTTGCTTAATTGTCAGAACAGACAATTAAGATTAAGAAAATATTATTATTACACAATAATGATAATATTAAAAAAAAAAAGCCTGGGACCGTAGATCTCAGTCTTTTATGTAGTAATAGTACGTACTGTTTTCTTTACTTGTATGTAGTGGAAAACCAAGTGCTAAAAAGCAATTAAAAAAAATTGTAAAATGTTGTGTAGGGATTGATTAAATTGGAGAAAAGATAGAGAAGTTCTTGGAGGAAACTCTTGTACTACTGAAGTCAACTTCATTCTCAATTTGCTGTGTGAAGTGAGGTAGATTATTCTAGACATACAGAATATAAGCACATTGGGAACAGTAGCACTGAGGTTCCTCACAAGAGGAATTTTTTTGATGCCTTGAAATCAGCGAAGACCACCTAAGAACAGTGTTACATGTAATCTCAAAATAAGTTAACTTCCAACCACTGTAACTTTCTGTAAGCATGAGTTTCAGTCATGCAACTTCTGTGTTGAGTAGCAAGATCTTAGAATGATAGCAGCGGTTTTGTGATTATCGTACTATCAATTACATGAATTATCGTACTATCAATGAAAAGTCATGTTACAGTACTGATAGTTTTGCATGATGACCTTGAATCACTTTTTCTGGGAAGGCTGCCTTATTTTCTGGAAAGGCTGCCTTAGATACTATGGAAAGGTGCCTGCCACATAACACCACATAACATCCTGCCTTTTCTTTTCAGTAGTTTCAATGTTCACCTGCTCCATAATTGAAAAAATGAAAATGTAAACATGTTAAAAGTTTTGGACAGTTGATGGAACTAGATAGTGCAGTTTAGAAAGATATCCTGAAGGCAGGGAAGTATTTTTAGCTTCATCACCTTCTTTTCCTGGTTACAAAGAATCAGGAGAAAAAGGTTTAGAACATGCTCGTCTATATACTGCATTGTTTTTGCTCCCAAAAATGTCAACCCACAACATCCCCAAAATTGCATCTGCAGGGGTTTGTAATCTTTAATGAGAGGGCTTCCCCACACCCACTGCTAGCCACTGCCAACAGTTTTTTCCCTCTGATGTGATGGCAGAAGATGTTTTAACATAGCTCGGTTTTACCTTTACGTGACGAGAGCCATAGCTTTTTCCCCATGTGTTACTGCAAGTGGGCACATCTAGGATCACCATGGTCCTCTTTTTTAACTTTCCTTCAGGAACCTTTACTTTCCCTTGAAAAGTAAGTTGACAGTAGTTTCTCACTGTTTCTTCCACAATGTGTACCTTAAAGGGAGTGCTCCATTAGAGCAGTCTAACAAAGGTCGTGGAGCAGCAGTTTGCAAGGTAAAGGCATCCTGAGAACATGTGAGATACAACTGTGGAAAAGGTTAGACTTTGATTTCTGGGTCTTTGTATTAATGGGAACCTTCTTACCATTGCCTGATTTTAAAATGGTGGTATATACTACTCTTAAAGTTCTTAAAGTTGTGGAAGACAGAGTCTAAAAGCTTTCTTTTCTGCTGGATTATCTGGCAGAAATACATTAAGCTAAAATAAGAGCTTGTGGCTGTGACTTCCTCTCCCTTCTTGTTGAAAATGCAGAGCAAGAGTCTCTGCAAGATAGACTTGGGATTTAATGGCTTCAGAGGAACGGAGAAGCATCCTTGCAGTTCCCACCACCATTTGTTGACTTCACTTCACATAAAACATCAGAAAAGGACAGTTAACCTTCCTGTAACTGGATGTGTTTTAAGAAGTTAAGAATGTTCATTGCGCAAGTATTGAAGTAGAAAAGGAGGTCTTGTTTCTGTCACTAGAAAAAAAATGTGTTGGAGCCTCAGAACTTTTTTTTTTTAGCATGAACATTTAAGTTGAAGACATTTCCCTTCTTTCATCAGCAAATAAGTGAAGTGTGCATACTGATTATTCCATTATTTGCAAGTCAGAATTCTAAATTACTGCATTCACTCTGATGCAGTTTACCATCTGAAAGAAATAATTAAAGCTTTCTTTCTCTTGCTTAAGATTTAAACGTGTATTTAAAAATGAGATCATGCTTTCATGGTGGTCATAGTTTCTTTATATATTTGTGTGGGGTAGCCTCAGAAGTGGGTGTATGATCTGCTGGTGTGCCATGATATATTTCCTTTAATTATACATTTGTTTTGAGAAAGATGGTTATTCCAGGCCTCCTCCTTTCCTCAGTTACATCCTTACAATCCTACTGCAGTGGGAGTTGTGCGTACCTTAGTGTGCAGTTCAGCCATATGTGGTACTTATTTATATCTCATGCATGAACTAAGCTACTCCAAACAGATAATTTGTGTTCTGGTAATAGAAGATAAATGCAAGCGTGTATGCAGTTCTTTCTTGCTAAATGAGGATATGACACATTGCCAGTCACTGTGCTTGGTAAAGCTCTTGTTTTGTCGAGGCCAGACAGAGTGCAAGGCTGTGTCTGTCTGATGCTTCAGACACTCAAGAGTTCAATTAATTTACAGATGATAATTTGTTTTCAGCTCCTGTAGATATGGATGCCTTTACTCAGCCTCTGTTGTGTCATTCTATAAGAAGTCAGCTCCAGCTGCATGAAGCTCAATTTCTGTAATTTGTTTGTAGAAATCGCATGTTCTCCCTGCATTATAAATGCAGCTGTGCAGCATTTTCAAAACGCACTGTAAAGCTTATGTCATCTTAAAATGACAGTTTATTTCCAGATGCCTGTATTCTCTGTATACATAATTTCTGAGCATTTATATACATAAGGAATGAAAGCCTGGCTTTATTTAAAAAGAAAACAATAACACAAGTAATATAATAGGTGTTCCATCAATATAAATTTTCCCTTCTGATGTTATTTACCTCTTTAGAAGTTATATCATTTGGCCAAATTAGCGTTGCAGATGCACTTAATTCTGGTGGTGTCAAGTCCGTGTGAACTGATGGATGTGTCCCATTGAAATTTACTGCAGCAATAGCAGCGTGTGATTCACCAGGGAAGCGTCCCAGGCCGTCACACCAGCAGCTGAACCGACGCATCGTGCTCTCACACACGCACAGCGCGCAGCCAAAAGATGACAGCACGCTCATGGCTTTTGGACAAAGAAAGTTAACTATGCTCTTAACGAATTCCACTTACAAAATACGCCATGTAAATAAATAGTGACTGACTGTAATTCATTCTATTCGCTGTACTTCATGCTTTCTTTTTCCGAGTGTGTCACAGGCAGTAACGAGTACAGACCCAAATCCTGGCAGCCCTGTGCGAGAAGGGGGCTGAGTTCATGCCGTGTAGGTACAGAAAATGAGTCACGGTGACTTTGTTCCAGGATGGGCTTCTGGTTTGCTTCTTAGTCATTAATTAGTGTTCTTCGAGTAACTTACACTGAAATTCAGAACCGTTTGGTAGTTGAGAGTGCTATCTTCGGCTGTAGTGCGGACTGTTTATTCCACGGTGCTGCGTGACTTTTAAGCTGCAAGGGCTGACAAAGTTGCACGTTCTCGGAAGCGGCTCCCTCCTCGCGTGCAAGCGCACACGCACGCACGCCGGCCTGCCGTCATCGCCCTGTTACTGGTTATTTTTTGCCTGAGGAAATCCTCCTCACGGCCCCGTGTGGGTAAGGCGCTGGGCCTCCCGAGGTTTGCAGGCGTGAAACTAAATGTTTATCGCGTGGTAGACCAAACGCAAAGGAATTTCTTGTCCCTTTACTGTTGGGAATGACCTAGTCACCGCGCTTCCAGTTTTCTCTGGTGTCGGTAGTTCGGTGCGGGTTCAATACCGGGACTTCGGGCGGGCGACGGGACACGAAGGGCTGTCACGCGTGGGGGAGCCGGGCACGCTTTGGCCCGGCCGGCTCCTGCTCCGTTCCGGAGCCCCTGGGCGGCCGGGGCGGGGGAG